CCTATTCTACTTCCGGGCCAATGAGACAAATCTGGACAAGGTGGAGTTGGCTTTCTCGTCAAAAAAATCCTTACGGACAAAATTGTATAGGTATCCAGTGTGTCGACACGGGTAGCATATCTCATAATTAAGCTCACCGAAAGGTATTCCCTCAAGGTGGTGCAAGTATACGCACCGACTTCATGATACTTTGATGACTATGTGGTTGTGTACGACAATATCACCAGGGCTTTGCACAACAGTCATGGCCGTTGAAGCCGTCATGGCCTAACAGATAAGAGTATCCGTATGCATTCGTGTTGGCGATGCACCGGTGTTCAGAATCTCAGGCGGATAGTACAATTTTACTAATAAAATACGTACTAACAAATGTTCACGATTGACTTCCACGGTGAAGGAATAATTCAATAATAACCGCGTAATAATATAATTCAATACCTGTAGGACCTCTTGTGAGTCCGGCGGGTAGGTGCCACCACCCTGCCTATTTCTGCCGTGAAGCAGTAATGCGTTTGGTTTGAAGGGTGGGACAGCAGTTTTTAATTATACTTGAGAATTAGAACTTATTTCTCAAGGTGGGTGGCGCATTTATTCGTAGATGTCTATGTATAGGCTCCAGTAACCACTTAGCATCAGGTGGGCTGTGAGCTCGTCCACTCATCTAAGAAAAAAAAAAAAAAAAAAAAAAAGTGGTTTAAGACTATGACAACCCAAAGCACACGTACTAACAAAGATCCGCTGCAGATTTCTATGTTTTTTTCTTTATCTTTTTATTGCTTAGATGGGTGGACGAGCTCACAGCCCACCTGGTGTTAAGTGGTTACTGGAGCCCATAGACATCTACAATGTAAATGCGCCACCCACCTTGAGAATAAGTTCTAAGGTCTCAAGTATAGTTACAACGGCTGCCCTACCCTTCAAACCGAGACGCATTACTGCTTCACGGCAGAAATAGGCAGAGTGATGGTACCCACCCGCACGGACTCACAAGAGGTCCTACCATCTGTAATTACGCAAATTATAATTTTGCGGGTTTCATTTTTATTACACGATATTATTCCTTCACCGTGGAAGTCAATCGTGAACATTTGTTGAGTACGTATTTCATTACGAAAATTGGTACTCCGCCTGAGATTCTAACACCGGTGCATCGCTCAACACAAATGCATCGGATATCTTATCTGTTAGGCCATGACGGCTTCAACGGCCATGACTGTTGTGCAAAGCCCTGGTGATATTGTCGTACACAACCTCCACATAGTCATCAAAGTATCATGAAGTCGGTGCGTATACTTGCACCACCTTGAGGGAATACCTTTCGGTGAGCTTAATTATGAGATATGCTACCCGTGTCGACACACTGGATACCTATACAATTTTGTCCGTAAGGATTTTTTTGACGAGAAAGCCAACTCCACCTTGTCCAGATTTGTCTCATTCCCGGAAGTAGAATAGGTGGCCTGAGCTTAGAATTATGTCGTCCTCTCCCTGTCTTCGGACTTCGCCCAAACCTAAGACGTGCCATCGTATCCTTCCTAATTCCACTTCCAGTTCGTCAACATGCTCGTAAAGCCGCAGGGTCTGGGTATTGAGAGTCCCCAGGGTTGGTGGTAGCTGTCCGTAGCCCGGAGTAGTAAGGCTGGTGGGAACTGGGGGCTGTTTTTATTTGTGGCTGCCATAAGGGGGGTTATGCCGTAATCGCCACTCTTGGCAGGCGGGTTGGCGATCGCAGTACTCGATTGGCACTTGAGACAGTGTGGTGTTAATTTGTCCCTTTACATCCCAAATAAACATTATTAGTCTGGATTGGATAACAATTATTAAGATACAATAAATTATATTAAAACGCTACCTCAAATCTTCCCGTGCCCCTATGCAGGGCTACAGTCAATCTTAGTTGACGCTGATCATGAAGTGTCGGTTCAGAGTAAAGTTTTATCTCATGGAACTTTACTGAAATTTGTTTTCGTTGAGCCTGAATTGTCATAGCCAGGGTGTCCCATACTGCTACTAATGCAGCCGCAAATGGAAACAAAGTTTTACCTAAAAAAATAAATTTAACATAAAAACATTAAAGTCCCCTTTTCATATGGACATCATTATCTATATATTAATAAGTAAAGCAAAAACTTTGTACCCCTTTTTACGAAAATTGCGCGGACGGAGGAGTACGAAATTTCTCACACTTATAGAGAATATAGAGAAGAAGTGCACAATGCTAATATTTTTTTTAAATAATGCATATAAGATACTTTAAATCAATAAAGAAAACATTACACACACTACATAGATACCATGTATTTGACGCACACACGCATGCATACTATTTATTGTCAAGCTTTTGTTCTTGACGTCTGTTGTCAAATTGAGAATAGATTAAATGTTGTTTGTCTTTGTTAATATTTTTTATAGTGTAATCTTGGCGAAATTTGTGATTATAGAAGTATAAAATACAATCATAATAGTGTACAAACTTACAATTCCAATTAATTATAGTCGAATTTCGACTACTGCGGGACTCTTTTTTTTTTTTTGGTCAGGAGGTAATCGCCGGACTTCCGCCCTTTTCTGGAGATAGTGGGCGGGGTATGTCAGAGTTTAACTGACTAAAACCTCCTGTCGCTCAACAACCAACGTCCAAACCTCGCATGAGACAGAACTCATGACAAGGCAAAGGGGGGAAAGTGAAGCGTTTAGTGCGGAGCATATCTCTCCCATCACCCTCCCCCTCAGGACGCCGGACTGGCGGTCGTCGGCCCCACGACCACCAGCCCTCTCGGTCGGCAGACTGTCCGAAGCCCGCCTAGATGGCGCCGGTTAGAGTGTGTTACCCCGATTACGGAATACCCCGCTGGGCCAGAACCAGCGTGGGTCGAGGATAGCCGGCCTTTCATCACCCGGATGCTCTTGCGTAAAACGCGTGCAGAGCAGCTTGCACGTCGTCTTCTTAGGCCCACCTAGCCGATCCCCAGACCAACATGTGAGGGGGACCCGAAACACTTAGAGGGCCAGGGCTTGGGCGAGATACGCCTCCCTGGCCCCCGCTCGACGGAGGCGGGATTGTGCGTCTCTCACGCGCCCCGCCGCCTCCTACTGCGAGATGGTGCACTCGCAGAAGTCGAGCATCGCCTTCCACGACTCGTCGTCGCCGAGCATCGATGCCACAACACTCGGCAACGACAAGTCGGTTCAAATTTTTGCGACGAAGACACGGCGCCACCCCTCCCATGCGGGGCAACTGCGGGACCCCTAGTAAGTATAGTTATTGTAATCCACTCATATTATTTAAGACCCATATTTCTTGTAATAGACAGAGCTTAGAGTGAAAATGAAAAATATTTAGTCGTTTCTCAGAATAGTGAAGTTGCTTTAACATCAAAAGATATTAATAACATTTCAATAAATAAATGAACTATGAATAAATAATTTAATTACCTCTTATTTGATTTCCACTCAAATACTTATTTTCATCATCATGAATGGTAATAATAAATTTACAGGAAGCAGCAGTTTTTCTATGGGCCGACATATAGAGCGGTAATGGCCTATACAATAAAATTTTAGGTAATTAAGGAATCATTACACACAGATTGTCTTCATAATCAATATTATAGTTACCATTTTTCGGTATGGACCCATTCCACTAAATGGGACAGCATTGGTGTTCCAGTCGCCACTGGGAAATCTACTTTCGGATATAATTCCTGTAGTCTTGGATTATAGCCTTCCATATACAAGCTGAAACAAATTTTTATCCTTTCAACGAGTAGTGGCATGCGTTTTAATTTATTATAAGATATGCTGAAGTTACTTACTTTCCAACAGCCTCAAGTAGGAATGCTACATTGTCTGGATGCGCTTTTCGTGTTAGAGCTATATTACGACAATCTGAATGCAATGAGCGTTTAAGTATTGCTTGAAGTAAGCCATGAGGTGCTACTTCAATGACCACAGCATTCGATGGTATTAAATTGGTAGTTTCTTCAAATAAAACAGGGCCCTATATAAATTGAAGCAAGATTAATTAGCATATCTGGAAAATTTCGCCTCCAAGTTTAATATTAAGGTTTTTTTTGAAGTCTTTTACCAATAAATTATTAGTGTGGTATTCAGCAGATGAATACTTAGCAACAGGTTCATTCCATTTGTGCCGAGGAACCGATGTAGAAACCCAACGATCACTTCGTAGTCTTGGCGTTTTAATTACTCCTTTTAAATATTCCAATAGAGTAGGTCCTGAAATATTCAACACTAATTGAATAAAATATATTATACTTAGTAATTTAGTGATTTTAAAATTGTAAAAATAGTTTTCAATTAAACTATTTAAAAGAAAAGATACATATTGTTTATTTCTTCATCAAATAATATTCTAATCGGAAATGTTAACGTTTAACTGTAGGCAGCGGCTTGGCTCTACCGCTGGCATTGCCGACGTCCATAAGCGACGGTAACCAATCAACATCATGTTCGCTCGGAACAGCGATTGCGCTAAACAAATTATTAAACTAAATATTAAACTAAGTTAAATTTACCCCACTCGGAGACTCGCCCAGAGAGTTCTCCGCTTCACAACAAGTTTTGAGCCTCTCCTACACCACGTTCCGACAAAAAGCTCTGATGGCCGATATATCGCACATCTCCCGCTGTCATCCGCATAGCCATGCTTACTATCAACAGATAGCATACAGAGCACCGAACCTTATGAAACGTCAGCGTAAATGGTCATGGTATCAGAGCAGGAACCGTCAAAAACGACTAGGATACTCTGTCCATTCAAAAAGCGATCCATTTGCAGGGTCCCGCGAGGATTCCGTAAGATAGTAACTTCGACAAAAATGCCGTAAGCCAGACCCTGTAGAAGGGCTTCGCGATATCAAGGCTTACAGCTAGGAGTCTCGCACTTGCTCTCCAAGATTTCAGTCCACCTGTGAGTAAGCTACACAAGAATCCCGCGGGCTGAACGACCATGACGGAAACCGTACTGTCAGTCATTGATTAGTTGGCAATCCTCAACAAGCTTCAGGAATTGCGTAGTTATTATTCGCATCATCGCCTTGGTTAGGCCTATAGCTCGATGGGTCCGAGCACTCAACATTTTTTTTTTTTTTTATTGCTTAGGTAGGTGGACGAACTCAAGACCCACCTGGTGTTGAGTGGTAACCGGAATTCATAGACATCTATAACGTTAATGACACTACCCATCTTGAGATATGAGTTCTAAGATCTCGCCCCACCCTTCAAACTGAAACGCATTAATGCTTCACGGCAGAATTAGGCAGGATTACCTACCCGTGCGGACTCTCTTTACCACCAGTAATTACGCAATTTATAATTTTGCGGGTTTGATTTTCTTATGCGATGTTATTCCATCACCGTGGAAGCCAATCGTGAAGATATCTTAAGTACGTATTACATCAGAAAAATTGGTACCCGCTTGCGGGATTCGAACACTGATGCATTGCTAGATACAAATGCACCGAACGTCTTACCCTTTAGGCCACGACGACTTCTTAAGAATCGCTGACAGAGACCCGGCTAACACCCACGAAAACTACCACTGGCCTTGGTAACACATAACGTGTGCACTTTGAACCTGGCCGTTAAGTTCGACCAGCTGGAAGAAGGGATGGACAGGTTGCACGGGAACCTTATTGGTTTATGGGAAATCCGAAGACAGGGAGAGAATACGATAACCTCGTAGTCCGGCCACTTATTCTATTACCAAGAGAGAGCAAAAGTCCCAAGGTGGTGTTGGGTTTATTGTCCACGAGTTTCTTATAAACATCATAGTGTCTGTCAGGATTGTGTAAAATAGAGAAGCGTGTCTTAATGAGTATATCATTGCTTAGAACGATCTTATTATGTAGAAGATAAACCAACGTGAGATTCAACATATCGATGCTTCGAGTTTAGCGAGTATTGGGGGATCGTGGGACTCCTTGGGGATGCCACGTATAACTACTACGCGTATAGCAACGGGAGCTCGGAACTCCACGGCACTTTTTGCCCTTTTGTACGAAAGTGTATCCGTCCGTCAACAAGGCGAGGGCGAAGTCAACCTCCGAGTTAGAATCGAAGGACGAAGAGGCGGTCGCGGGCGACCTGCGGACTGATTCATATTCTTTATGGCGGCAGGCGCGACAGAGGTCACGGCGGACGACGAAGGAGTTTTACGCGCAAGTATGGACGACACGGGAGTAGCGAGCGCGACGGAGGCCGCGGTATACAACGGGGTGTTTTGCGCGCGGGTACAAGAGACGCCAGAGCGGCGAGTGTGAGAGAATCCGTGAGAAAGTTCGCGGCGTGATCGGCCCTGAAGGCTAGAAAATCCGAAATTAACTTTTGCTGTTGTAGGCGGAGAATTCCGCAAACAGAGCGATGGTCAACTCCTTGCTTGCTGAGTTCCCAGGGGGACTACCCCAGGTCTTACATACGCTCGTCTTGCGACAAGGCCCCAGCGTAGGAGTTCCTCGACGTTTGGATTGAATTACGGCGCATAGCCAACTGATGACAAAGAGCCCACTGAGTTACTGAACGAGTTCCAGAAATTTAGGCGGTCCGACCGTTCACAAATGGCGATGCGACGCAAGTATCACAGGTAATAATTCGAGAAAACACTTGGACGCCAGATGTGCCACGAGCAGAGGTCGGGCAATCGAATGGGCGATGAGCAAGTTCGCACGCGGCGGAAGCCTGGATTGAAATGTCAGTCCGAGTACTAATAGCCCGAAGACCTAGTGAAAATCGCTGGGTCAACGTGGGATCGCTGGCATCCAGGTGGAAACAGACCAACCGCACTAGAGATCGATTGGAGAGGCCTATGTTCAACAGCGGACCGTGGAAACGCTGAAATTATGATGATGATGAAGATGCATTGTAGACTACTAGTCAAATATAGACTTCGGCACCGGTCAGCACACTGACAGGCTTAAACTCATCCAGCCAATAATTCCAGTCAATAAATACACAAAAAAAGAAAAATAATTAAGTAAATTTACCTGCTTCTGCAATATATCTTGAATGATAGGCTATGTTCGAGCATGGAACTTCCTTAGCGAATATTCCTTTAGCTGCCAACTCTGCGACGAATTTTTTCATATCTTCAGCGGGACCGGATATTGTGCTTGATTCTGAGCTATTATGGCAAGCTACTTCAATAGAAGTTGGACACATCGCTGATACCTAATACATAGTTACATTTTTATCATCAAATGAACAGTGTGAAAATTTGTTTACCAAAAAATGATAAATATTACCGTTTGATGTCCTATCCCAACGGCAGCCATGGAACCTCGTATGAATGGAGTCTGTACCGAAACAAGACCACGACTGTACGCCGATAGTATCATCTCTTCTGCTGTTAAACACCCATCCGCGTAAGCGCACCCCAACTCACCGACACTATGACCTGATTTCCATTTGAAATCAACACAAATACGGAAGTAAACATTAGCTGATATAAAATAACAAAATAATATCATAAAAATAAATCATAGAGAGGCAGGGAGCGAGTACACCGATATCTTCAATGCTTCAATGAAATCATATCTGTAGGCTGGTTCGGTGCGCGTTACATTTTGTTTTAATAATTATATAAACAGTGTAATCGTTTTACACGTATGAAATATTCCGATCCGGCCAGCGTTTAAAAATGTTACATGATAACACCCGGAAAGTCCTAAAGTGCTGTGTTGTCTTGTATTAAGAAAAATGATTAAACAAAAAATATGAAAGTTAAAAGCTTAAATTATGAAGTAAATCAGTTCCATTGCCGAATAGATTTAAATATGAAATATTCAACGTTGCTCATACCGATTATTTTATCTGGTTTTATTTCTAGTGCCCTTAAAATATCAGTAAGTCCAATCTGAACAGCAGCTATCCCAACGAACGAATGTAAAATGTTGTCGAAAATTGCTTTATCGGGAGATGTTAGTATGTGCACAATGTCCACCCCTTTAGGTTCCAATACTTTTCGGCACCTGAAGCATATTTACAATATTTTTATTAGCCAAAATTAGAATGCTACAATTACACTAACTGACACAGCTGCGTTTTATTATTCGTATTACTTTAGTACTACCTTTCAATAGAAGCCACAAATGTGGGAATCCGCATTAGTTGTGATCCCATCGTAGGCCATTGCGATCCCATCCCGCTGTACACAAACCACAATGGACGTTTTCTATCGTCAAAGTATTCTGCTCTTTCTTTTAGACAAATAGTTTTCTGCTCGTCGTTTGTATCTGTAAATTACATACATTATCCGTAAGTAGTTGGATTAAAGTTTAATATATCTTCGCTTATGGCAATTAGTAATCAGGAGCGTCACCTAAAATCGCGAATCCCCGTCCCATATGACCGGAAATGTTTGTTTGGTGAATATTATGTAATAGGGCTATTTCTTCCGGATCTATTTGACGTGATTTTAAGTCACCCAAAAGGTTTTTAACAGCCGAATCTTGCCTTCCCGAAATGGTCACCAAATACGGTATACTAGCCTGGTAGCGGCTGAGATCCTGTGGAAAAAAAATTTATGAAACTAACTCGGCTTGTTACTTACTCTCTCCGTGTTTGACTACGTAAAATACATTTACCTTTGGTTTATAGTGTCCTTTCAAAAGTACATGAGAATTGACACCAGTCACTGAGATGCCATTGACGGCTGTATAGTTGCGACTGAACGGCATATTTGCACTCAATACGCGTATCCTTCCGTTCCGGATTCCACTGATATCAGCTCTAGGTGTTGTATAGTGCAAGTTACCTGCTAGTACACCTGTTTCGTATCCTAGTAATACCTGGGATTAAGCAAAATGTTACTTTTTTCATTACATGTAAATCGTTAATGGTATACTGTCAGATGGACGTCCTGGTGGTAAACCGTTAAATAGGAATTTATGGGTATGAAGCGGAGCCAATAAATATTAGAACTTATATAAAATCACCTACCTGAAAACCCTTTTATTTGTCAGAAGGAAATTGCCTGACTTCCGCCCTTCACTTGGAATGGAGGGCGGGGCATGTCAGAGTCGAATCCACTAAAACCTCCTGTCGCACAACTACCAGCATCCAAACCTCGCATGAGACAGAGCTCATGAAAAGGCAAACGGAGGAAAGTGAAGCGTTTGGTGCGGAGCACATCTCTCCCCTCACCCTCCCCCTCGGGACGCCGGACTGGCGGACGTCGGCGCCACGACCACCAGCCATCGGTTGACAGGCTGTTCGAAGCCCGCCTAGATGGCGCCGGTTACAATGGTCTATCCTACGGAATACCCCGCTGGGTCAGAACCAGCGTGGGTTGAGGATAGCTGGCCTTCCATCACCCGGATGCTCATGCTTAAAACGCGTGCAGAGCAGCTTGCAAGTCGTCTTCTTAGACTCCTTCGCCGGTCTCCAGGCCGACATGTGAGGGAGACCCGAAACACTTAGAGGGTCAGGGCTTGGGCGAGATCCACTTCCCTGACCCCCGCTCGACGGCGGCGGGTCTGTGCGTCTCTCACGCGCCCCACCGCTTCCTTCTGCGATATGGTGCACTCGCAGAAGTCGAGCATCGCCTTCCACGACTCTTCGTCACCGAGCATCGATGCCACAACACTCGGCAACGACAAGCCGTTTACTATTTTTGCGACGAGGACACGGCGCCATCCCTCCCATGCGGGGCAGGCGCTGAGCGTATGCTCTGCCGTGTCCAAGTCGCAACCACAATGGTGGCACTCTGCCGTCGGCTCGGCTCCGATCCGGTGCAGAAACTCACCGAAGTAACCATTTTTTTTTTTTTTTTTTTTTTTTTT